ATGATACATGTATTTATTTATTTATTTTTATTAATATTATGTCGAAGAGACCGTAACTTGTTGGAGAGTTGCCACTATCCTTTAATGCACAATCCCAGCCTACTAATTTTGTTTCACAGAAAATCACATCAATACGTGTTTTATGAGATTCAGAATTGCCGTTTTGGATGGAGCTTATGCAGAATGACAAGAGCAATAAAGGTTTAAATGTATGTTTCTGCCTGAGATACAATAAAAACTTAAAATCCTCCTCACAGAAATGAAAAGTGTGTTTCTTTTTTCTGGTAATACATTTACAAGAGGACAGAAGGAAAACAAGATGCACCAGGATTTTTTTCTCTTTTATATGTTTTTTGTAGATTTTTGGCCACATCAATACAATTCAAATATAACCGACATTTTAGCAGCTTAGATCAGCTGTTAAAAAATGTCTATAAAGGTAAGTATCATATTAATCAAAAATATTTTAAGTAGGGATGGTGAAAAAAGTTTGACATGTCTTTCATCTATTTTATTTTTAATGTTCTGATATTTCCACAGAGCAATGCTTTTGATCATAATTTTGTCTACTTTAATCGTTTTGAAAAAAGATTAGCCTTTAATGGAAATAAAATGGAAGATATCACTTCCCTCTATTATTAAAAATGAAATATAAATATAAGTTTTATGACACTAAAAGTGAGAGTTTCATAATCATTATGATGTTACCCCTGAGGTGTATGGGGGGGCAAAAGGTACAGAATTAAATGGATAAATCATGAAATAAGAATGTTCAATAAATATTAATTAATTATTGGGTGTCCCTTCAAAAAGGTTTCATGTATTCTTTATCTTAAACATTACGTAGTAAATAATCATATACTTGATTAAGTATTACTCTCCAATAGATTATTAATTATAGATACAAAGGTTTGAATAAGTTGTCATTTAAAAACATTTATAAATTATTCAAAAATACATGTAATCATTTCAGTCTATTTTTATCAAATTAAATATAGATAAAGAAAATTCCATGTATTTTTGAAGGGCTGTCAGTATTTGTCACTGCTGTTTTGAAGTGAAGTGTTTAAACCCTCTGGACAAACATTTAAAACTATTACATTAACTAAAGGGAGACAGAAAAAATATTAAATGATACCATACTCACCATTTCTTATTTTTCCTGGATCAATTCATTCTCTAAAACTGAAAGAATTGAAAACTGTACCTTCAACACCTTCATTGAACTTTCTTACAAACTTATAACAATTTCTAATTAATTTTTTTCTTTCGATTTCTTAGTTTGATAATAAAGATTTTTTTTATATAGCAGATAGAGTCTAAAACCAGATCTTAAGAATGTCTTCCATCTTTTCAAGTAATTTAATACAATGACACATCTTTCTTAGCAAATTTAAAGATAAAATTTAATTCTGGTTTAAATTCTTTAAAGTTACTCTGGGCAAATATTTCCGCTGAAGGCCCCCGTGTCGTGCTGGCTCGGTGGTGGACAACTGCAGTAAGGATGCTAACAAGCAGAAGAAGGACTGCTATTGGTCCTGGTTGGCTCGTGAGACTCGTGAGACAGGAAGCAGTTATGAGGTCAAGTGTAATGCAACCCAGGTGCTTGCAGAGGCAAAAACTGGGGCCTCAGATGAGTTTGGAGAGGCAATCAAGAAAGACTATCAACAGGCTCAAAGCGATCCTGGCAAACCATCTGGCGCCTCCAGAGGGGAAAGCAGTGCTTTACTAACACAGTTTTCATTGGGAGTGGGGAGCAGCTAAGCTTGAAAGAGCAAATCCTTGGTCGGTTGAAGGAATACTTTGAGGGTCGCACCAATCCGGCTAACACACCTTCTGTGGTGGAAGAAGTAATAATGTCCTTAGGGACAGATTTGTTCATCGCTCAGGCTGAAGCCACTGAGATGGTCAGAAAACTCCACTGTGACAAGGCTTCAGGGATGGACAACATCCATGCCGAGTACCTTAGAGCTCTGGATGTTGTTGGGCTGTCTTGGCTAATATGCCTCTTCAACATCTCTTGGAGGACCGGGACAGTGCTCCTGGATAGGCAGACTGGTGTGGTGGTTCCCCTGCATAAGAAAGGGACCCGGAGGCCTCGTTCCATTTATAGAATAATCACACACTTCAGCCTCCTTGGTAAGTACTATGCCAGGGTGCTGGAGAGGAGAGTCCAGCTGATAGTCGAACAATGGCTTCAGGAGGAGGAGTGTGTTTTTTGTCCTGTCCGTGGAACAGCTCTACACCCTCTGCAGGGTTCTTGAGGGTTCATGGGAGTTTTTCCAACCAGGTCACATGTGCTTTGTGGACATGGAGAAGGCATTTGACTGGGTCTCTTGTGGTAAATTTTGGGTGGACGCTTCAATAGTACGTGGTTGGGCGCTCTTTACTAGAAGCCATCCAGTGTCTGTACAATTGGAGAATGAGCCTCTTCCGCATTGCCAGCATGAAGTCAGACCTGTTCTCAGTGCATGTTGGACTCCGTCAGGGCTGCATTCTCTCTGATCCTGTTCATAACCTTTATGGACAGGATTTCTAGGTGCAGCCCAGGAGGTGTCTATGGAGAGGCAAGTCTGGTCCCCTCTACTGAGACTTCTCCCCCCATGACCCGGTTGAAGCTTTCCACAAGTAAGAGTACCATTATGAGTTTACACATTGGCAAACATTTCATAAGCCTGATTTCACAAGGGGATTTAAAGCCGAAGAAAAAAAGAGCCACATTCTAAAAAAGCTTTGCTTCCAAATGTCGCAATTCCGAATTCTCCCGAGTGGTGCACGACTTTACACGACTGAATAAAGTGAATGCGATTAGTTGTTTATCAAGAGGGCGGGATTGTTGTGGCGTAAGGTTCGCAAGCAAGTTTGATTGTGGCCAGTTTGTCGGTAGCATCTTGCTAACCAGTTAGCAACTTAGTGCTAGTAGGTTATTATATTCGAACAAATTATATTCGGAACAAGTAGCACTAAATTGCTGACTTAGAAACGACACTGTCAAGGATCGCTATGAACAGAGTAAACGTGCAAGAGGAGGAGTTTTGTGTCGGAGGTCGTGGATGAGTCTCCTTTCAATGGAGCGCTCACAGAGCTCACAGTGTTAAGTTAAAAGTTCTCTTTTCTGTTGCTGTTGTTCAATAAAAGTACGTTTTAGGATCATTTGAGGCAAAAACATCATACTTTTAAAGGGGAACTTCGGCGCGTGTATGATGTCATCCAGGCGCGCCAGCTACCATTCCTTCATCCAATTCGCTGAACTGTTGCTGGTTTTACTCACATGCCTGGAAGATGTCTAGTGCTACTACCACAGATGATCTCGCTCTCGAAATGGAATTGAACGATTCAGATTAGCTAGCCGAATGAATAGAAGAGGTAGAGCGTAGTCGCCTGTGGCCCGTGCTATCTTTTACAACTCCAGTCCGCATGCGCGGATGACGTGATACACATTCTGCTTTGTTTTTAAAACATAGAAATATGAAAAAATATAACCGCAGATGTCTGGGGGACAGTGATTCGCCTACAATTTATGAATGCAGACATTACTTGGATATAACCTAACGGAATATCTTCAGAACAGCTCCAAATGACACAAAACTAATATGGGTGAGTAGAACATGATGTAATAACGTAAAAAAAAGGGCCCGATGTAGAAAAAAACAAAGTTCCCCTTTAAGCGTCACTATATGGCTCATTTACCAATTGAATGCGCAATTTTTTTTAAATGTTCCGAAGTTGAGAGGGCCGCCGGAACCAGCGGAGCTCAGAGGGTAACGGCAGCCAGGTCTAATCCCAGCCCGTCTGCAGCGGATCTCTCTCTGTATAGCCGTGGACAGTTGGCTATGATGGCAATATTTTTGTTTTATTTGGCAAAATGTTCATTTGATTTGTGTTTATCTGACTGTTTTCATTATTATTCCCCCATTAAATGAAAAAAGTCAGAAATTATTATTATCTAGAGACTATCAATAACAGGAGGTGAAATGCAGCCCCAGACGAGCTGAGCGTGTGATGATGACATGACTACGCTTCTGTTCCAATTGACTCATATTTATGCTGCGTGCTCCTGTTCTCCTCAAGTCCACACTTTTCCGTGTTCATCTCAAGAACATACTTGGCGAGGACACAAGTCCATACTCGCATTCTTGGGAGTATGGACTTGATTGACAGATGACCGTTGATATTTGATTGGCCGAATTTTGGTGTACAAACTGACATGTAACTAACTGGCCTGCATAAGATAACAAAAAATAAATAAATAAATAAATAATTTTTTTTTTTTTTTTTATAGAAATTTTCTAAATGTTGGGACAATATCGTCTGATAAAAAGTACATTGATATACATGTTTAAGCCAGAATGATTTGACATTTAATTATGATTTTCCCTACGACTTTAAGGATTAGATTCAGAACTGCAAAAATACTAATATAGAATCCTCAGTTGCTGTGTCAAATTAGTGGAGTTGTACACAATGAAAGCAAAACAACAAACCCCACAAAATAAATAAAAGAAATTAAATAAAAACATCTGACCTATTTAGAGCATCTGCAAGAAGAAAACCTTTTCATAAAAAAAAAAAGAAATGAGCAGGTTTTAGTTTTGCCACACTGAGGCATAAGACTGGATCTTCTGGATTATCTACAGACCTGTAGAATTGTTTTACCACCTTATTACACTGCAAAGAAATGCAAATGAATCAGAAATAATCACTTTCAACATAGTTGAAAAGCTTTGCCCAAAAAAACAAACAAAAAATAAATAAACAAAAAATGTATAAACCTTGCTGTTAAAAATTACTCCACTTTCTATTTTGCAGATTGATCCGTTTATTACTGTGTAGATCAAATCTTTTAAGTGATTAATCAGATCATAAAACACTTAAAGCAGAAGGATGGTGCAAGTGCTCCATTCTGCCACAAGATGTCACTCTAGTTTCAATGTCGGGCCACAGCAGTTTACATTGGAAAGTCAATCATTGAACCAAATTTAATAAATACACAACCAAAATAAAAGCTTCAAACTTTATTAAACTCATGAACAAACACTTTTAACTAAAAATGTGCATTCTACATTAGAAAACCCCAAAACAGGCACTAAAACACAAACATTTGCCCATAAGACAAAGGAGTAGGGTAGTGAGGCACTTTGTTACAAATATTTTTTACATTGTTTACATTCATAATTAACATTTGTTGAATGACGCCCTAGAAAATTAAGGGATTGTAACAAAGTAGTGACTCTAATTCAGTTTTATACTCAAATATCTCCCTTTATCTGTCAGGTAGAGCTGTTTGCATCCAGAACAAATACCACCAAAGGATGAAACGCTTTTTAAAACAACAGAATAGTCCATGTGTTTTTATCAATAAATTAAAGACTTTGTTTGTTTATGAATGAAAATGCATGGATCCTTCCTCTGTTTTTAAAAATACTTCATAAATTTGGTTAGATATGCATAAGTTTTACTTTGTATTAAAAGTGACACAGGAATAATAATCATATTCCTGATCATTTAAAATGATCTAGTAGATTTAACGTGGTAAGATCAAAATACAGTAGACTCCCCAATGTTAATGGTAAAAAAAAAGTTTTTTCTCTTGTTGTTCTATATATTGTAATAAAACAGCTACACCTGTATAATAACACAGCAAGAAGTATTACAACCACAATCAATCATCAAATGGAAGACTAGCTTATATCGATTTAGATACAATGTTTTGGGTCATTATTTTAATAGGATTTACACAGTTTAAAGAGAGCGAGATTCACACCCTTCAATAAAATGTTCATTGTTCTTTAGCAGAACATAATTGTATCATTAGGGGAAGAAAGAAATGGGGTCATATGAAGGGACACATCTCAGAATTGCAAGCTTTTTATCAGAGAAAAATGTATGATGGCGTTTCTGGCACAAAAATTTGGTATTACCTCAAATTTTCATAACTATGCACTGATATTTTTATCATTTGAGTCTGAACTTTAACATTGCCTTTATGGAATCTATTCTATGTTGACAACAAAACTGCTCGGAACAATACTAATGGTCACACAACTCATACAAAACAGCATCAGTAAAGAGATTGAACTCATGTCACAAACAGGAGGAGCCAAAATATGACCATTACTTATACATTAGGTCTGCATTCAAAACAGGACTCTTAATAATAACACAAAGTATGCATCCCCTTGCTGTTGTGTACAAACAGCTGCAGTTTTTGAAGTCTTTGCCAATTTGTAGAAATGCACATTCCAGATGTGAAAAATAAAAGTATAATCTCAACATTTACCAACCAACAAAGAGGCTGATAATGGAGCGCATGGATGATTGGAAAGAGGATGAAGGTAGGCTTCGTTTCTACACATTTGTCCGACACTTTGGGAAGATGGGTCCTCCCTCAAGCCTTCTCTTTCTTACTGTTGATCGAAATGACAATTCAGAATTACTAAGACAAGTCAAGCATAAGATGAACAAGAATTTTACCTCATAATAAGACACACACAAGGGGCAAACATGTAAAAGATGCTCTGATCCAATGACACCAAATGTCAATGTTCATTCCAAGAAAATGTTGAAACTGATCAGCGCATCTTACCCCAAATAAACTGGTGGTGGCATTATCATGCTAAAGGAATGATTGTTTTTCAGCAAGAAACAAAGCATGGAAAAGCATCAAGATAAATTGTAGATTTAAAGCACCTATATTTTAAACTTTCTTTTCTTCACAGCACAGAAGTACCAGAAAAACAAAGTCCTTAAAGGAGCAATAAGCAAAATTCTGTCACTCTACAGTGTTGAACACTGTAGAGCAAGAAAAGATACTTGACAGGGCTCATCTCTCTGATCTTTCTCCAGATTTTTATTTTTATTTACAATATGATATCTATTATTTCCTTAATCTCAACATTTGATGTGCGATAAAAGATAAAACACATTTAAGTTGCTGTCTGTGTAAGGACTCAGGGTAACTAGATAGAATACACGAAGCCGAGACAACTACCGAGTTAGCTGGGCTACCAGACACTCGCCTCATATAACAGTAATAAAGGGTCCATTGCTGGTGAAACTCCTGCCACAATTGTAGCATTGCATTAAACTGAATCAACAAGGCAACGCAGCTCTACAAAGCAAACAACAAAAACAAGCATTTGACTTCATGCTTTAACCAGTCTAGGAGGACAAAACTAGCTCAGAGTCCAACTGGAGCTGCTTCTGCTCTTCATCTTAGAAATGCAAGGCCCATGTTCATCCTTCTTGTTTTCCTTTCCTTATCTGACAACTTGTGTTTTTAAGGAAAGTGCATCCTGATTGTCTTCTGTAGAATACTTTGGTCTCTTGGTTGCACTGTTTGCCATTTTGCTCCTATGCTATGCTGGTGGTGGCATTAATGGAGAGGAAGTCCTGAGTGGTCGCTGTTCACATGCACATAAATACACATGCAAACACATACACTGCCACGCGACCGGCCTGGCTCTGAAATCAAGAGACTGGAGAACAAAAAGAAAAATGGTGTGTGATTTCCATAGTCCATGTGAAATTATACCTTTAGTTCATTACAAAACTATTTTTTTAATGAAAGTTTGCTTATTGTTCCCTTAAATGAAATAAAAGACTACCTGAACAAGGCAAAAGCAAAACAGAGAACCAAAGATGTTGACTCCAAAGACTTCCAAAATATTTACTGCATTATTTCTCGCTGAGTTCAAAGGAAAAAAATCAGAGGTAGCAGAGACTGGGATCATAGAGCATTTAAAGAACACTAGCCCCAGCTGGGCTTTTCAGTCAGAGACTCCACAGAGAACGCCTGGATGTGCTAATCTCATTTCAACCATTGACACACCCCAGCCTTTCAAAACAGGAATCGAAAGAGGTTTCAGATCTGGCAAAAGACTCTCCTGCTAAAAAACTTGGGCTTTTAACAAATCTGATGACTTCATGTGTTTACTGCTGTGTAAAGCAATCTAACAAGTGCAAGTAATTTCTATTGTTTGTGCATTTGTGGCAAGGTGAAGTTTAAAGTCCTGACGTGGTATAATGATGGCATAGAGCAATGGATTCCATCTGAAGCTGGTAACTATACATATTACAACATGTATAGTTAATGTTAATACACTGTATGTTTTATATGTGTTTTTGGTAAAAAGGCACCTTGGACATTCGATTTAAAAATGTTATCATCAGACCTTTATTGGTTTTTTTTTGTCATTCGGGTGAAGAGAGAGGTGCTCATCACCTGTCAGTGTGTTGGAAGTGACAGGGGAAAATATAACCCCTGTATGTGAAGTGCCAAAACAAGGTTGGGATTCTAAAAATGAGAACAATTAAAGGATTACGGTATTATGGGGGACAGAGGTTGCTTAAGGGCCATCTAGTCCTTGTATAACAAAAGAGCTGTGTGCACCCTCAGCACAAAGTCAACTTTGGGTCTAAGTGTACATCAGCATGCTACCTGTCCTACATGATCTCTAGACATGGTTACAGAGAGGAGAATGTTTGATTTTGACACCTTGAGGTCTGTTGGCATCTTCAATCATGAACTATATCCACTGGAGGGATTCATAGCTGAGTTAGAAGTAATTTAGCTGATGGTCAGCTCATCTGGTCTGAGTCTTGGTTCTTGATTAAAACATAGAGGTTTGCTCCCTCTGAATCAAGAAAAAAACTGCCACAGCCAATAACTTCAAGTACCTTTTGGTGTCTTTTTTAGCTTGCATGGTGGAAACAACAGGGAAATGGAAGGATAGACTGGGCCCTGCAAGAAAATTTCTGACCATGCTGTGACTTTAGATTCACTGTTAGAGATGGGCACAAACTCCATCATCCGGTATGAGTTTTGAGCAGAGCACCTGATTTTGTACCTAAGAGGAAGTCAGAAGTGGTTTGTGGTTTAAAGTGCCCTGTAAATTCCACCCTTTAAAGCAAAAGGGACCACATTCATCCCTTCTGGCCAGGAAACTCATTTGGATAGATGGGAATGGATCTGGAGATTGCACCCAAGGAGAGGGATGCTTCATATACTGTAAGTGAAGGACGCTCACCTCTAGAGCTAATGTAGCAGCGAGAAATCTATACAATATCTTTAAATATCTGAAGGCAATTCCAGCTTTGGGAGACTTAGTGTAGCTTTTAAATTGCTAAAGCATAAAATGGAACTGGACAAACTGAAAGAAATGAAAACTCTTAACAAGATCAGAAGAGATACTTCATAGGAGATGTAAGTGAAAAACAAATTTGCTATAGAAAAGTTATGTAGAAGGTAGGAAGTGTACTGCATCATCAAGAGGAAATGTTCTGCAGCTGTGAAAGCCAGAAACAATTGATTCAATTAAAATGATAGAATCTATGGAAGGTGCTGCAGAAAAGAGTCAGAAATGCCCAGAAGAAGGACAGCAGTTGGCAGAGTAACAGGCTGCATAGACAAGGACAAAGAGTTGCTGTCAAAGGAAGTGAAAGCTAGACGATCAACCAGACAGGTGAGGTTTTGGTTTTACTTAGTCTTGGACTTGAACTTTTTTCCAAAGGCTCTTTCCAGCTCAGGTACCGACAGAGTGAAGGTGATGGAGCCGTCTGATTCTGACCTGACGGCCCGGGCTTTACGAGGATGTGATAAATGAAAAATATAGTTAATGATGACAGATATAAATGCATGTTCTAAACACAAAATGAACAGGTTATAAAATCAATGTCCTTAAAGTCTACTCAATGAACCATAACTACAAACCCAACAAGTGATTTTGTTCACTAATATGATAAGTACAACTCAAACTCATCACATATAGTTAGCCATGAAACGATTTTAACATCTGCAGAGCAGGAAACCCCTTCATTGTTTTTTTTTCACATTATGTTCTCTTCTATGTCTTTTCTTAGTTCTTATGTCACAACTTAGGAAGTTAGTGTTTTCATTGGCTGCTCAGCCTGAGTTACCAACTGATGATATCACTGCAGTTCCCTTATTGGACAGTGATTGAAGTTGGTTTCCAGCCGATAGAGTGAAGATAAGGTGTCAACAGCACTGACATACACATCAGCTAACACTGCCAAACACAATACCGCTGAGAGATTGTACCGTTACATAAACAATCCAAGGCATTAAGCATTTTCCAGATGCAGAGTATGCTTTAAAAGTTTTATTTTTAAGCATGCACTGCACCATTGCATTTTGCAAAATGAAGTGATGTATCCTACATGCAGAAGTGTGGATGTTTTTAAAACCCACCCAAGTCATTGTTGTTCATCATGGCGTTGGAGCCTCGCAGACGCGGGCCCTGTTGGGTAAAATGATAGCCAAACTTTAACAGGGTGGTATTTTTCTCAAGAATGCTGACTATCTCCATCTCCACTTTGTTTCCCAGCGGCTGGCTCTGGAGTTGGACAGAGTTAGGAGGTGGGGTCAATGCAAAGACAGATAAGAAGTTAATAAATTAGTTAGGCCCTCTTTAAATAATTTCTTGAAAAGCCTTGATGGCTGCAAAGAGTAACTTTCATCTCCATCAATCCTTATAAAGAACTTTAAATAATGCATATGGAGAGAGTGCAAATACAAAGCAATTAAAAGTGAATCATTGATGAATAACTATGCAGTATGAGACATCACTATGTACTGTAATCTAAAAGGCATAAGGCTAAAGAAGCATAGATGGCTTGCGTATTGTTAGTCTGCACACAGCTAGGGTTTGTGAGAGTCGACTGGTACCTGGTTGTCGATTTTAAGCTCCAGTAGTGTGGTGTTATTCTGCAGTGACTCAATGAGGGCCAGGATTCCAGTCCCAGTTATGAAGTTTGACTCAACATTCAAACTCTTCAGGGTCGTGTTCACCCTCAGCATCTCTGCCAGTGCCTGAGGAGAAACAGGAAAAGATATTCCAGCTCAGAAATTAAGAATTTTATATTAAGAAATGTTACTGAACTCCATTAAGGTGGTATACTTAGAGGCGTACAAATGCAACGGGGTTATTACTCCTTGTTCCAACAATACTGAACCTCTCCACCACAGTGTTCTTCATCAGGGCTTCAGCATAAGCTTTCAGTGTTGGGATGGGGATATTCTGGGCAGTGAGGAAAAACAGTAGTTAAAGAGCAATTTGTTGTATTTTGGAGCAGGAAAGATCTAAACACTGGAAAAAGTTTTAAACATGATAGATTTACACCAGGCCTATTCATTGGTTTTCAAAGCAGATCATTGTGAAACAAGTATTTCTGACATAAATTGACTTCAGAGTCTCACCCCCTCTAAAATAGAAATGTACTATTTTAGTGGTAATTTAATTTATCCATACCATAAACGAATGATGACCTGTCATCTAAAACCATAGAGAGCGATGACCAAACTAGTGTTTTCTCAGGAGAAAACCTTTCTAACAGCAACATGTTACACTTAAGAAGCACTTTCAGTTTCTATAACAATTCTGCTATACAAGAAATATGGCTGACCTTCAGCCAAAAGAATGACGCATTTTATATCAGAAGTAGAGCACATGTAGCCAGTACTCGAATTGAGGGGGGTTGGCATCCCCCTTCTTAAAAAAATCTTAAAAATCATTCCCCTTCTTAAATGACCATCCCGCCATACAATCCCCTGTGACATTTAATTACTGAATTTGTGAAATTTTACTATATCTTAACAATAATGGCAATAATATTGCCCGTTCAACATTTGGCGGGCTGTGGGCTTATGGGTAGCCTGAGCAAAATAAATAAAATCAAAGAAGTGGCCTACCATGACTATGAAGCTGATTACAGTGGGAAATTAGTTCCTAACTATGTAGGGGCGGTAATGATAAGGTGCCTTGGTCAAGGTATATGACCGGCGTACCTGACATGTAACAACCATACCATGCATATTGCTTTAGGTTAATAGACTATATTATTTAAGCTATGTGTGCGTCCCAAAAAAAATTAAAATTTCACCACTCCCCTTACTTTTTAAATTACTTTAAAAAGTACTTTACTTTACTTTACTTTTAATTATTTTAAATTACTTTTCAGCACCAAATGACTAGCCTCATGAGACCATCCTGATCTTGCGAGCTTTCAAGGTTTCACTCACAGATCAGTCTGGCTACTTTCCGTTAAAGAAAATTTGGAGCAGTTCACCAAACGAACGTCGAATCAGCGTTGGCTTTGAGGTGGGTTGAAGTGTGTTACGCAACGAGAAGCGCGACACTTCAGTCAAAAGAACATGGCGGCTTCAGCCATGAAACTAGCGTTAGCGTGGCTATCGAGCAAGTTTTATCGGAATTACAGAGTATTTCTTCACTGAAAAAAGAGCAAAACACTGCCCTGGAGGCTTTTCTCAGAGGAAAAGAAGTTTCTGCTCTTCTCCCGACTGGTTTCGGCAAGAGTTAGCCTGGCTTGTGGTTGTGTTTTCGTCGTCGCTCTGTTAGTACGTCATATGCTTCGTTGATCTGATTTATTTGGCCCGTCTATCACCAACATAGGCCACTCACCTAACCAGTATTTTCGCCCCTTCCCAAAATTACTTCAACGGAAGGTTTCAGAGGGATATGCGGAGCAAATCCATCTGGCGGAGTCAGGTTACCAAATGACATGAGTAAACAAACTGTACAGTAGTAGCCATTAAAAATTTCCCCACTTGCCTTGATGGCCCCTTCGCTGGTCCCCTGCAATTCCTTTTTAAACATCAATCTTTGAACCAAAATATTCTTTCTGTCATGATTTGTGGACATTAAGATCAAAAGAGAAGCATCATCTCCTCAGACCCTGTAATTCAGTGAAAGGGTGGAGTCAGAGTAAAAAAAAATGCATGCCCAGGAGAAGGAGGGGGTCACTCCAGTGGCTGGAAGTTGGAGGGGATTCTGCTGGGAGTTGCAGGGAAGTGCCATTCAGCTGGCGTTTGACTGGGAAGAGCCAATTTGAATGGCTGCTACTGTAGGTGGGGCCTGGAACGAAACAGCTGTAAAGTCTATGTTTCGATTGAATGAACATTTGCCACTGGAAAATTATAAACAGACCAGGATACAAACCAAAGAGGGGAGTAAATCCCAGCTTAATGATAACATCTTCATTCTCTGGCAACGTCTGGCTGATTGATTGGCTTTTACCCCCATCTTACATGTTTCTTTATTTCAGAATGTACAGTACAATCTTTTTCTACTATCAATCAGTCAGTTTTTAAATATAATACACTTATTTTTTTGTTGTTGTTGTTTTTTTTTTCCAAATGTATTGTATTTAGTTTTAATTAAAATGATACAACATTCTAACCTTTATGTTGTTGAGATTAACTTCCACCAAGTCAGGGTCGTTTTTCTGTATCCTCAGCAGCGTTTCCTCAACATCAGTGGAGTTGGGCTCCTCATCAGGGACATGTTTATACTGGGTGGGCTGAATCACACCTGGGGATTATCAAACGTATTACTGTTGTTGACATAAAATAATTATTCTAACTGAAGAAGAAAAGCAGCTTTTGCTAACTAAAGCAGAAGAATATCTTTACAATGGTTTATAAAATTAAATGTAATCAGATGACTCAGCAGCATTTTTTTCCAGGAGTAAACACATAGAAATTTGTAGCCTTTAACAAAGTAAAAAAAAACAACTAATTAATCACTTTTTACAAGACTGTTTTATTTAAACTCTATCCTGTTTACACCAGCATTTTCCTGCCCACTGAAGCATTTACAAAACACCCAATAATATGCATTTGTGTTGTTAAATACTGCTCCTAATAGACAATGTACAGCAAGAACAAATGTGTGTTTAACATACTATTGAGGCCTTGCTTGTTGACTATGGTGCTGCTTGCCAGAGCTTCGTAGTACTGCTGGTTACTCATTAGGGTGTGCATGCCCAGGATAGCTGAAAAAGCGAAGGAAAGCAAAATCAATTATCTATGAAGACAGAGCTTAATCATCATTAGACCCATAAACGGACTAATAGCATCAAACAACATTTATAATTTTCAGTTTAAACAAGATTACAAAACTTATTCTAATGTGTTAACTTAACCTGTTAAAACTGGCCTCATCGAAATCACCAAAAACGCCTGACCCTCCGTTAACCATTAGGAGGGATAGCCTGGCATATAAAACCATTGAAACTACTAACAGTAGACTTATTGGAAGCATCATGTGTCCTGCAGATGGGACATGACAATTGACAGGTTTAGAAGTCATTTTTAAAGGAGCATAATACAAGTTCCATAGTTTTTCAAAAGTTATCCCCCTCTGGTGACAAGATGAAATAACAACATTGTGCTAACCTTGCCTGTAAGTTGAATCCTTAAGGTGTTTCAAAAACACACAATAATTCATCCCATTCCCACTTCAACCATCCGAAACTGACCTAAAACAGGTCAGCCAATGACGTTGCAGTAATATGTTTTAAGGCATGAAATATAGCTGTGACAAAAACAAGATTTGCCGAGCCCACAGCCTGGCCAAAACAAAAATAGCAGGACAGGACAACATATATGCAGCTGCTTTTTGCATGTTTCCAATTTATCTCTTATGATGAACTACAAATCCCTGGATTAGGAGGCCTCACCCAGATTTTTAGCTACTTCCTATTAGATTTACAACAACTGATCTAAAAATAGGTATACATTTCTTATAATAAGAGTATTTTACTTTCATTATAGCAGGCAAGTAAAATTATCTACCAGCAATATTAGCATTTTGGCCGCTAAAATGGGATATGCTAAATCTTAAATAAGAGGGGTTTTCATACTTTTTATTGACACATCTTTTTTTTTTTTTTTCGGTCAACCTCAAAGCGATTCTGGCAAACTGTCAGATGATGGAAGGAAAACTTGGAGTATCTCCTCAACCTGACCATCTCTTCCTTCCATTGAGGAAGAAGAGACGGGCTGCTCGAGGCAGGAGTTGTTCACCACCCAGACTGAAGTCACCAAGGTGCTCAAAAAAATCTATGGTGGCAAGGGTTCAAAAAACCTTAGATCTCTGGATGTTGTCAGGATGTGGTGACTGACAGGCCTCTTCAACACAGCATGGAGGTCTGGGACAGTGTCCCTGAACCAGCTGACTAGATTGGTGGTTTCCCTCCATATGAAGTGGGACTAGAGGGTGTGTTCCATCTATAGGGTGATCACACCTCTCAGCTTCCCCTGGAAAGCTTGTATCAGGAGAGGAGAGAATAATTGTTGAGGTTTGGCTTCAAGAGAATGGGTGTGGTTTTCATCCTGGCCAGGGTTCTCTAGATCACTTCTACATTCTCTGAAGGGTTCGCGAGAGTTTGTCCAACCTGTCCACATGTGTTTGTGGAACTGGAGAAGGCACTTGGCCATGTCTCTTGTGGGGTGCTGTGGGGGGGTGCTCAACGAGTACGGAGTTGAGGGCTCTTTACTAGGGGCCACCAAGCCTCTGTACAAGTAAAGCAAGAGTTTGGCATTAAGCAGGGCTTGTTCCCAGCGCATAATGGACAACACCAGGATTGCCCTCTGTCATTGGTCCTGCTCATCACCTTTGTGGACAGGATTTCTGGGTACAGCCAAGGGCTGGAGTGGTTCTGATTTGAGGAAAAGTAGCTTTCGTCCCTACGTTTTGCAGATGATGTGGTTAAATCCTTCCTGCAAAGTCCTAAATCATGCGCTGGGGCAATTCACAGAGTGTGAAGCGGCCAGGATGAGAATCAGCTGCTACAAGTCCAAGGCCATGGTTCTCAAATGGAAAAAGGTAGCTTGTCTGCTTCAGGTTGGAGGAGTTTCTGCCTCAATGGAGGAGTTCATATATCACGGGGTTCAGTTCATGAGTGGGGTATAATGGAACGGGAGATTGAAAGACGGATCGGTGTTATAATACAGACACTGATCTGTTGTTGTGAAAAGAGAGTTGAGCAAAAAAAGACAGCTCTTAATTTACTGCACGGTCTACGTTCTGCCCTCACCTACGGTCATGAAATCTGGATCACAACCGAAAGAATCAGATCCTCGATACAAGCAATTGAAATGGGCCTTCTTCTCAGGGTGACTGGGCACTCCGTTTGAGATACAATGAGGAGCTAGGTCATACAGGAGAGGCTCGGAGAAGAACCACTTCCCCTCCACATCAAGACGAGTCAGCTGAGGTGGAACGAACGTCTTTGATAGATTCCCCCTGGACGTCTCCCTCGGGATGTTGTTCGAGGTGTGTCACACCGGGAGGAGGCCTAGGGGGCGACCCAGGACATGCTGGACAGACTATAGTTTTCAAATGGCTTGTGATCACCTCAGGCTTCCTCTAGTAGAGCTAGAGGAGCTGTTTGGGGAGAGGGAAAACTGGGAGTCTCTGCTGAGACTGCTTCCTCCACGACCCGGTTCAGGATAAAGCATAAATTGACTAGTACGGATCCTTTTACTTACCAACTCAAATATGGTGCAAATGCACTTATTTCAAGAAACTTTTATATACTTTTAGTTGTTTTACTTTTCTAGTGTTCAAGTCCAGACTCTGGCTTGGTCACTCCAAAACATCAGAATTACTTCCAAGCAGAAGAAACATGTTTCTAAAACTATTAGTTGAAACCAAAACATGCAATGTACATTGAAATGGAATGTTAGAGGCTGAGAAAAACAGAGTAATGAACTGGAGAAAGGGCATTCTGATCCAGAGGTACAATGTTTATGTTTTGCTCATGCATCAAAAATATTATTGGAAATAGTGCCAAAATTTACAGTGATTAATTAATGAGAATTCAGTGTTTTATTAATTCTGTACACTTAATCAGCATGGCAGGGATCTTTAAATTTCCATGCAAACACAGTGTGGTGTTATTAGATACCCAGGATGTTGCTCAGTTAATGGATAAAGAGATCCAGCAGAAGTGGGTGAGGAGAACAAAGTGATGAAACCAATGGAGAGATGAATGGGGAGAGACATGAAGGGAATGCTAAAGGAAATGGAGAAATAAAGAGTTAATATGAAGGAAAATAGCTGCTAGAAAGGGAACAGACACCTTTATATTATTTAGTCAGCAGGTGGCGTACATTTTTACACACTCAATGGTACACCTCACAAATCAAATATTATATTAAAGAAGATGTCCTTACCTGCGATATCACAGAGTTCTGCATCAGAGGCACTGGCCAGGGCTTCCTCCAGCTCTGGTTCTAGTGTCACATTCTCTATGATGGGGTCCACCCTCTTTTTAGGAACAAAAGCTTTCCCTTTGGTCATTGGGAAAAGATTTATTACACAGCAGTTCAATGAGTGAACATCAGGGTTATGAGATAAAAACTGAGTGATCATTCCTCTTTCCTTTTATACGTGCATGGTACAGATTCGAAATGAGCTACACAGTCATGGGGATGTTTTACAATTAATGATGCTTAAACATAACATGAAGAATTTAACACTGATGTTTTACCCTTAAATTCTAATTTACTGTAACTTTTAGAAATAAGCATTTTTTTTTTGGGAAAATTATTCTGCATGACCACAGATGGACCATGGCAGCAGCAGCAGGGGTGAAAGTAATCCGGAATGGTCCTGTCCTGTGTGCTCAACTCTGCTCTTCTAGCTGTGCTTTTGCAGAAATTTGTATTTGCACAAGCTTAGCTCCAAGTCTGCACTTGCGCTCCACAATGACAGTTCGCTCTCAGCAGTATCGCTACTTAATAAACTATATGGGGCTGATCATCCTCTGCCAAGTGTAAGAAATGTTTTTTTGTCAAACTACCAGGATTTTATTTCTGCAAAATGATGCAAAACACTCTTTATTTTCTACCAAAAGGAACCCAAATTATATCCAAAGCAAATATTTAATTACATACTGTGAGAGCTAGATGATCAACCAGTCTCTCAGTTTTTGTTTCTATGTATTCAAGTATAATGTTAATGTTTCCTTGAATATTCCTAAAATAATGATTTTAGAGGAAATGCTGGATCCCACCTCTCTTCTCGCCAGTGAACGGCACCAGGTCCTCCCTGTCAGGATGCTCAGTGGCCTGTTTTTCCAGATGAGCCAGCAGGTTTTCTCTCTGAAACGTTCCTGTTGGTGCTTTCTTAGTCTGGTCCTTCTGTCGAAGACCGGCCGGCAATAAGGCGTTCTAGACAAAGTGAGAGAAGTAGTTTTTAAAATGTAACCCAATCTGTCAAAACTCAGTTAGATGTACTGGTGACCTGTCCTGGGTGTACACCGCCTCTAAAGGCCTGAACACACCGGTTGTCACGATGACTGCATATAGAGAGGCTCTGACTAGGCAGGGTGGGTAGATCTGTGCAGATTATTTTCACATCTCTGTGCTTTACACAAAAGAAAGCAATTTCCCACATTTGACTTGGACAGATTATGAAAAGGCATTTAAATAAATAAAAAACAGTGGTGTATTCTATAAAGCACAGCCCAACTTAATGAGTCTGTGCAGCATCTCAAACCAGAACAGGTGGAGAATCTTTATATTATGTTTATATTAACAACATAATGAGATCTATGTCTAAAGAAAAGAAATACACAGCAATAAACACTGCGGGATAGGTTATATGCTGGCTGAGGCATAAAGGTGATTCTCAGAGAGAGATCTCGGAAGTTTATCGAAGCTTTTCTTTCCTTTTTTCATGAGGAAGTGAGAGAGAAATGTAGGCTAATAGGATCACTATTTTAACTTTTCCATTTTCTGTCCTCCTGAATTCTTATCATGGGTGAAGTATTGTTTTTTTATGTTTCATTCATTGTTTTTGCAAGAGTCTGTCCCGCTTATTACATACAGGATGTGCGGCTCCATAACTGACTCTTTTTCCTGTCCGATTAACAAATTTTATATTGTATTTAACCCCCAAAGCTGATGTATTTTACTTTGTAACCTTGTTTATTTTCCTGTCAGACCCATAAAATTGCTGTTGAATTGATGCATGTCCAACTAAAATAGACCTAGGGCCTATCTCATTTTACTTGCGTAAAATCATGTTGGGTGTGTTCACCCCTATTTTCTTTCAATGAGTGCTAAACGCCATGACCTTGTCCAACATCATTTTCTGTCGGAAAAATCAAATTCATTGTGTTCTAGCTTTAAGACTGCTGGACAAAGGTACCATTTGATCATGTTCTGAGATATGAAAACAAAGCGTTGAGTGTTACCAAGTTGCACTGACAATAATACTGCAGAGTCGACACTTGATTTTTAAATTCTGTTTAAATAAAGATTCAGGAGGTCTGAGAATGCCATCCACCAGCCTGATCCCAGCAGGTAACACAGATCATTGAACTGCATAAATGTCAGCTAGTGCAGGACAATGTAAGGTACATTTATTATCCATAAGATTGAGATTATTACTTTTAGTTATGCTCTTAACATGCTGCTTCAAACTCAAGATAAGGACATCAGAGTCAAGGTCATGGTTTGAAAAATAAACTTTTCGTCTTCTTTATGTTCAGACTTATCCACAAAAACAAATAAAATCCAACTGCTAGAAAGGTAAGATTTAAAACAGATTTAAAAAATAACCCTATTCATCAATCTTAATCTTTTCTCCGCTCCAGAGGAGGTATGAAGGAGTTTCCCAGACCGATCCAGCACACAAGTTATTTTCAACCTGAATCAACAGTAAAAACCAAAGCTCTACTTATAGCTTCATATCTTATCAGGGCTCTCAGCACTTACAGGCCTCCATATTCCTTAGTCTGCCTCTCTTTCTGAACAACTCAGCTGTCGTTGTACCCTAAGTGTTAATTCTAGCATTAGCTTAAGGAAAACGACAGCATAGCAGCAAACATGTTTAAAACCTTTCATTGTAGTGAGTGGCACACCATTCCCAGCTTTCTTGGGCTGTAGATGACAGGCGTCAGACGAAACTTATTTTTAACAACTGTAGAATCTCTTTCCCTCATCTTACACAGCTTAGTGGCTCACCAAGCTCAGCCACAGGAACAGGCCAGTCTCCAGGATCAGGTTTAAACAATGATTAAAAAGAGACCAGTTTAAGCACAACCAGCGAGATTCTGTCAAATAACATGCATGACGTCTCTATGGGGCGCACCGTAGCACAATGCTTCCCCTCCCCCACCTGTTGTAAGCTGACAGTTGAACTTTTTCCTGAATTATGGGTGGGAGAAAATAGAAGTGAATTTCTATGAAACATGTGGTGAATAAAAAAAAGGAGCCGAAAACTATTTGTAAGTTGCTATTTTAACATTAGTAGTTTCTATGTTTGAGTAAAATCTATGATGTCATGCTATGAATTCCGTTTTAAAGTAAACTTCTTGTTGTTATACAGTAAAGTTAGAACCATACTCTGCTTTTTCATCTAGTCCAAGGAATGAGGGGTTTGACTAAAACTGCATTTGGTTTTTTTCAGAGTTTAGACATTTTAGCTCCAGTGGACAATTAAGAGATAATAATAAAATATTTAAATTTTTTACTGCACCTCACATATAATAGAAACCAATATCTTTACACCAATGATAAATAACAAAGTTGCATTTTGAAAGCAGGCACGAACAGATTGTTGTTAGTTAAAACGGCTTAATCTGAATTTATTTTTTCAAGTTTTAAACAAACATAAATCATAAGTCATAAAATCCATACTCAACTTTCCCATTAGGGTGTTTTTTTTTTTTTTTTTTAGCTGAACAAATATTAACCATTTTGCTGCAGATGTTACTGCAAAATGTTTCTGCTCATTCACTTCCTATCTGTCAGAAGCTCTTAGTTTTTATTAGTTAGCTTTTTTTCAAACGGACTTGAACTTTCATCTGATTAAATTCCCTCTATTTAAACATTTTTCTTCATTTAGCAGTTGAGAAAAATCTCGACAGGTTTCTCTAGGGCTGCAACTAAGGATTATTTTGTAAATCTATTAATGTAATATTTTTTTCAATTAATCAATTAATAATCAGGTTTATTATTTTTTAAATTAAACCAGATAAAACTAAAAACCTTTCCACTTGAGGAGGTCTTGATTGAACGTATCAACAGACAAAAACATTTTTTTTTATCTTAAAGCTACAGTGTGTAATAATTACAGGGATATAAAGTCAGAAATTGAATATATTATACATAACTATGTTATTTATCATCACCTATGAGCTCAGCCTTTTAACCATAATATTTGCGTTGCCTTAGAATTCGTTATTTATAATTACATAGGAGCGGGTCTCGCAGCCATGGAGGCAGACATCTTTGCACTACGGCAGCGCAAAGCCAACAAACTAGCGATTGCGAGATTGCCCATTACGCTCGAAAGTAACTACGGCAAGTTGAGAGAGATTAACTGAGACGGTACTGAACAGTAGATGGCAGTATTATGCCTGAGAAGCGTTTAGTCTGCCTGAAACCAAAGAAGAAGAAGAAGCAGGTATACGGCGCTTCAGTAACAAGAAAGGTGAACAAGGCGGCAGGCGTGAGTGACTTTGCAAACTGTTTGGCACTGTGTGGCCAAACATCAGACGAATGGAGGATCATGCCTACTCTGTATCACAACGAAAAGCGGCGGACACCGAACCCCCGTCATCTAAGAAGCGGAAACACGACGAGAATAAACGCAAGCGCGACAAGAAACGACAAAAAACACTGATCAACATTGGCACGGCATTTACACGATGGAAGTCACTGATGGAGGAAAAAGGTTTTCAAAGTGACGCTCAAGTTGCCAGTTTTCTGTTGGACAGGTAATTAATCCTACACACACAATTGTCTTTTTATACACGTAATACCCCACCCCCACATCCCGTTTCAACCAAACTATTGTCAAGATGTCAGGTAGCATTACCTAGATAAGGCCACAGCTTCATAAAATTACCACAGCTGATAGTGGCGTGTGTGAGTGTGAGAGAGAAAGATATATGAAGCTGCATATTAGCGAGCTACGGATATATACCTCGGTTACTTCTCTCCGGCTCCTTTGGAGATCTTCAAGCCTTTCCTCCTCTCCTCTAGTCACCCCTCTAGGCACCTCTCCCTCGCCTGGCCCTAGCTGCACGCCCACCCCGGCCTCTCTGCCCTCTTCCTCTCCCTCTTCCTCGCCTTGTAACCCCCGTGCCACAAACATGACTTGGACTCTGTAAACGGGGAATATATATTCTTCCAGCGAACACAATCTCGCTGTTAAACTAATGACTACAATTACTTCGTCTGTTTATATCACCATGCAAAGCAGCTCACCAAAACGTCACAACGATGTAGAAAAAATAACGGGTATATTTATTATCTTAATTCTACATGAAATCTATACCCTACACAGACTAATGAAATTATCTATGTAAACAAACCTCATCACTTGAGAAGGTAGGTGATGCGGACGTCGTGGAAGACATTTTGTCCCGTAACGCTCGCCGTACTGTTGGGGGGGAGAAGCGGTGGGGGGGAGATGTTCATGTTGCTGCAATCTGCAGTCTGGACGTTAGATGTGGCTGAAAATTACACACTGTAGCTTTAAGCAAAAATGTTTTTTGTTTTTTTACAATTTCAGTCTAATTATTGCTATAAGTGGGTCGCTCTGTCAGCTAAAGGCAAGTTTTAGAGTCTCTATACTCCAGTTAATAATTAATCAATTAGTTAATTAGTTGACCATTATTTCAATAATCAATTAATCACGATTAATCCGATTAATTGTTTGAGACCTAGTTTTGCTTCAGATTCAGCCATTCAGGATAAATTGTAGGTTTAGCCTAGAGGTTATCAGAAGAAAATGACTGTTAACTAATCTTATATGCTAGCATATAAAAGGACTTTGGATTAGCATTAGACTGCAGATAAGAGCACCAGGTATCAGCTGCAGTGAGGAAACCAACATGTTTCAGTAAATGTGAACACAGGAAAGTCCACAGCAAATAATTGGTTCTGACCAAGACTAAATATATATATATATATTTAGAAATGCCAACTAACGTATCTTGTCTTAAGAGTTAATTTCTTATTTTAAGCATCAAACTAGTACAATATCATTTTAATTCAAGAGATCTTGTCTAGTGAAATTATTTTTCTGCATGGACAGATCATTGCAGTTGTTTTCAGTATCTTTTCCCATAATGTCGTTTCACTTCTTTGCAGTGTAGAGTCCAACAGCGAGACAACGTGTGTACCTAATGTTCTCCTGATGACTGTATTGGTGTTATTGTTCAGTCAAAGCACAGCTGGCAGGAGTGTTTTTTTTTGGGGGGGGGGGGCTTGGCCAGCGTGGGACTTTTTCAGAGGGTTTACTAGAAATGATGCAGGAGATTTCTCTATACTACATCAAACAGGCTAACACTGTTGTGTAAGCCTTGAGTCAGAATGGGCACAATCCAAGGCTGCACGTCCACACTGTGTCTTCTGTTTACGTCATGGAAGCCCCTGCAGTTGCTCACTGCTGGCATCAGTCTCACTAACAAATAGTTCTCCATGTTTAACCCTTCCAGTCATCCCCTTGGCATTGAGGGGGACTCCTGTCTCTTTATAAGCAGAAAGACATCCATCTGAAAGCTAATATAGCTCCCATCACAACCATAGCTCATGGTAAGTAACAGCATTCTGTCAGTGATAGCACAAATGGGATTAGCACAAAGCCAACACAATTACCCATGATACATTGCCTTTTTAGGCAGCTCTACACACAACATTAATAATAATCCCTATTTTTTAACCATTCTTCTGCTGTTGAGTTTTCCATACTGTAACTCTGTACAGTGTGTAACTCGTGAAGTTTTCACACACAGCAGCATAAATATATTGGTTTGTTTATTTTTATTTTGAAAATATTGAAAGACATTAGCAAACACATTTGGTTAACTTTTTTTATATTTTATTTTGCCAACTCTGTTGTGGAGAGTACCTTCACCTGTTTGAAGCCAAAGGACTGTCGCTGGTACACTCAATCCCAGATTGAATGATTGATAAATTGGGATGTACCATCTGGAGTTCCACTATGGGGGAAGACCAGGGAGTTCAAATTTAAATATGCTGCATAATATTTTCATTTATTTGCTTTTGTTATTTGCTCATTTTGTTAATTTTATTTAGTTAATATTACTTTAAGTTTAATCCTTAAGCTAACCTTTCAGTTATTTTTGTTACATTTGTATAGATGTTCTCTTTCCTTCTTCCTCAGTGTGTTGGTCTGGTCTAATCAGCCAGTATTAAAGTCCCTTTTGTTTGCTGTGTGTCTTGTCAATTTGTTTGTGCGGTCAGTTTGTTATGGAGGGCCAACTCTGCCATATTTAAAAATAAATACAGAAATAAATAAATGCTCAGTAAATAAATAAGTATACAATTAATTGCCCCAAAAATACAATAAACTAATAAATGTAGGTAGAAATTTAATTATACAGTGAGACATAAATGTATGAATCTCTTTTAATTAGCTTCTTTATTTATTTGCCTTTGTAATAATTAACTTATCTATTTATTGTCCCTTATAATCTTCAACTCTATTTATTTATTATCTTTTTTTTAAGTATTTATTTATGTGCATGATATAATATTTTTATCTGTTTTATTCTTCTTTTATTTTTTACTCTATATTTTTCTTCAATGCTATTTATTTCTGCCTGTCGTTTTTACGTTTCTGTATGCATTTTGGCCTCATTTACGTATTGAGGCCGAAACCATTAAAAAACCATTAAAAAATTATTTTTTTTATGGTTAACCTTGATATTTTTTGCCTTGAGTTAGTCTCTTCATTTGACCTCCAGCTCAGACCCTCACAAACTTTTTGCACCATTTATTCTATTTTTACAGTTGTTTAGATCTAAAAGACAGATTCAGATTTATTTCACATTATAGCTGCCTTTTTAGAAAGTTTTTATGTTAAAGTTTCTGCCCAAAGTATTCATACATCTTGAACTGTTTCTCAGTGGCTTTACACCTCAACCACTATATATCTAAATGCAAATTATTTAATCCATCAATACAGAAAGGTTAGTAATATTGGTCTCAGTGCTCTCTAACAAACATCCAAAAGCAAACTGGATACACTGGATTTTATCTAGAGGTATTATTTATTTATTTTGGTTTAAAGGCTATTTTATGTGACCTTTGGTTGAGATTATTCCCTTTTTTTCAATGGAACACATTATTTTCTAAAATTCCCAGTCTTTTTATTCATTTTGTAAGTAAAAAAAAAAAAAAAAAATAGCAAGAAAGGAAGGAAGGAACAAATGAACTGCAAATGGAAATAAAGAATGAGAGGTAGGGTGGAGGCAGGGAATACAGGAAGGAAACAAGAAAGTATTATTGGAAGACACTGAAGCCTGAAAATACAACTATATTCACTTTTTTATTTAAAACTGAATATTCCTACATCAAAATTGCATGCTTGTTCAGACTTTAACAGACTTTGTCTGATGGAAAAGAAAATAACCTACTTATGGTAGTCGAATAAAAAAAAACAAAAAACAACCAAGTTTATTTTAGTGCAATAAATGATATCAGCCTGACTCTCCTCCTTATCGACCTAAATGCTATAAACTTACATCAGGATCCAGCTCGTCTAATTCGTCCTCTAACCGCTGCAGCTCCTCTTCCGAGAGCTTTTGTAGCAGTTCATCCTCGTCTATGTCCCTGTACTTGTCCATCTCCTTCTTTAACAACGACATGATGAACTGCAACCCTGAAAAAAAAAAAAAAAATCCCTTGTGTGAAAATCCAATCAATAGAAAACAGGTTTAAACAATGGAAAATTTTGGACATATTTATCTAAAAAGTAACTAATAATATATTTGAAAAAGCACATTAACCCTGCATCCAATGCAATTAACCTGGAGAATCTTGATTCCATTTCAAGATATCTAAAATGATTTAAAAAAATAGCAAAGAGATCAGAGACAAAAAAAAAACAAAAAAGAAATACTGGGCCCTCTGAAAGATTAGAGAAAAGCCATAATTGCACAGCAGGATGCAATACTCTAGCAAAGAGATAATTAATATATTGAATTAGCAACAATAGGTGTTAATGTTACTGATTATATCACCTTGATGATCCCCAATTCAGAGGTACAATGATAATGGCAGCCAACTGTTCAAGTTTTCTCAGGGATTCCAACGCAGCTGAAACAGAGAGAAACATGAGTGAGGAAAGATTTAACGTTCTCAGAGTTAGACAGCTGCTTGGATTTAGTGGATTTCTCCCTTTTTATTTTTAAAATTCATAAACAAAAATTATTTATGCAGAATAGAATCAATGGAGTAGCCAATGCTGCATTCATCAAAACTAATAGTTTTCATATACATTTAGTTTTCACTTATAAAGTGATAGTTTCCTACTTTTTAACTGGTTAAAACCTTATAAACGTTTGATATCTGATCAGCAACAGATTAATCTGGGATTCCTCTTTACATGTAGCTCTAGTTTAGTTGGTTTTGGAGGCTGAAAAAGTCCAACAAAGACTGCTATAGCTGCACAACTACTTGAATTTTAAAACTTATATTGGTTTAGACCCTGGGTCTGCAACCTGTGGCTGTGGAGCCCTATGGGACTCTTTGGCTCTCCCACAGTGGCTCTATATACATTGGGTCAATTGTGATAAAGAATCACCTAATGTTACAGACATTAAAGCAAATTCTGTTTTTTAAAGTAAATTCTTACATTTAATTTCTAGATTTTTTCCATAGGGTTATACACTATGCTCTTTTAACTTTATTTACCACAAATATCAACATCAACAAAGCAGCAGCAAAATGCTTCTATTCTCTATTAGTTGTATTGTTTCAGGTGTTGGCTCTTTTTTGCCAATATAGGGGGATTGATGTCCCAGAGCTAGAAAATAGCCCAATAGATCTGCATTCAGAAGGACACCATTATGGTCTTGGTGTTGTTTTTGATCAGAACCTGTCATTTAAATCCCATATCAAAGAGGTTTCTAGAATTTCCTTCTTTCATCTGTGAAATATTACAAAAATTAGAGATATCCTGTCCAGGGGTGATGCTGAGAAACTAGTCCATGCATTTACTACTTTAAGGCTGGACTATTGTAATTCTTTACTATCAGGAATCTGATAGTACTATCTCCTATCCTAGCTTGTCTTGATTGGCTTTATGCTAAATCCAGAACAGAATTTAAAATCCTCCTTCTCACATATAAAGCCTTAAATGGCCAAGCTCCATCTTATATCAGAGACATATTTGTTCCTTATGTTCCTAACAGAGCACTTTGCTCTCAATCTGCAGGTTTACTAGTGGTTCCTAGAAGTTCTAAAAGTAAAAAGGGAGGCAGATCTTTTAGTTATCAGGCTCCTCTCCTGCGGAACCAACTACCAGTTTTAGTCCGTGAGGCAGACACCCAGTCTACTTTTAAGGCTAGGCTTAAAACTTTCCTTTTTGATAAAGCTTACCGTTAGAGTGGCTCAGGTTATCCTGAGCTATCTCTATAGTTATGCTGCTATAGGTTTAGACTTCTGGAGGACATAGGGACCCCCATTTCATCATTCTGCTTCATTCTATCTCTATTCTCTTACTCTGCAGAAACTGTTACCTGTAGTTCAAACTCTAACATTATGCTCTCTCTGCTTTTTCTCATAGTAGCTTTGCCTCGTCTGTTCCTGTTTGGCTGTGACTCCATCCTAGAGAGATGTTTGAGATTGGCCTGTTTTACGGTGTAGTCCTGTTTCTCTGACTGTGACTATCTGGATGTGCTCTCTTCATCCTCTGACATGGGAGCTGGCTCAGAGCTTGTCTGCCTGGCTGTGTGTTTCCTGGATGGGGCCACGTTTTACAGTTGTTTTTTGTGTCTCTGCTTCTGTCTCCTTAAAACCCAGTCGGCCTCTGAAGATGGCCGCTCACCCTGAGCCTGGTTCTGCTGATGGTTTCTTCCTGTTAATAGGGAGTTTTTCCTCTCCACTATCGCTACAAGCATGCTTAGTGTGAGGGATTGCATTTGAGTCAATGAGTCGATGCAATCAACTTGTTTTCCTTAGATAGAAAACTTTGTATCAATTGGACTGTATGATCTAGTGAACTGTAAAGTGCCTTCAGATGTGAATTAGCACTAAATAAATCAACTGAATTGAATTGCTTGTTCCCATAGGGGTTTTCTTTGTAATGATTTATTAAACTTTATTGCAAAGGATTTAGAGAATAAAATCATATGCAATGGAATCAGACACAGAGAAGGAGGTGAGAAAGGTAGAGGGGATAAGAATGAAGGCAAGAGAAAAAGAGAGATAGGAGTGAAAAAAAAAAATCCATTGTTGGTTCTTTAAAAAGGAACAAAATGTTGATTACACATTGCTAAAAAAAAAAGGAACCAGAAGCTGTCTTTTTGAATTATATCAGATTACATTTGGGGCTGTTAACATTTATTTCAGCTGGACTGACGGAGAAAATTTGGATCATAGTGAAAACAGATCCATGTTTTAAAAACCTTTCAATGGTTTCACATCTGCATTGCCTCATTACTTATCTTATTGACCTCAGCAAGCTTTCCATTTGAAAAACAAACTGACAACTGAACCTTTGGGCATTTTAGTTTAATAAATATTTATTTATATTTAATATTAAACAGATGCTTAAGACCGATTTAAGGTTTCTATCAGAAAGTGACTGAAAATGCTGGAATGTTCATTGCTGAAATGAACATTTAAATGATCACAGTGCCTCCTCCCTCCATTTAATGTTTAAATAACCATTGACCTCTCTGGACATGAGTGTTAAAGGTGAAAATGATGAACAGTTTATAAGTGTTTAGGGAACGACTAAGACACATACAGAAGTCAAAAGTTTAATTTGACAATTGCTACTTTCCACAAGCAATCATCTCCAACCTCCAGGCCCAACTTATGAGGTGCCCCCAGGGACATAAATCAGAATTAACTTGCATATACACATATTAAATTACACTCTTCCATATAATATACTGAAAACCTCACACAAACACTAGTAAAAAGCTCTCACATAAACTAGTGAAAACATTGACCTCTTATATAATCTACTCAAAAGCTCTCATACAAAGTAGTGAGAACTGTTCATATAAACTGGTGAAAAGCTTTACCTTTCATACACACTACTAGAAAGCTTTCATATACACTATTAAAAAGCTCTCATATACACTACTAGAACGCTCTCATATACACTATTAGAAAGCTCTCATATACACTATTAGAAAGCTCTCATATACACTATTAGAAAGCTCTCATATACACTATTAGAACGCTCTCATATACACTACTAGAACGCTCTCATATACACTATTAGAATGCTCTCATAAACACTATTAGAATGCTCTCATATACACTATTAGAACGCTCTCATATACACTATTAGAACGCTCTCATATACACTATTAGAACGCTCTCATATACACTATTAGAAAGCTCTCATATACACTATTAGAACGCTCTCATATACACTACTAGAACGCTCTCATATACACTATTAGAAAGCTCTCATATACACTATTAGAACGCTCTCATATACACTACTAGAACGCTCTCATATACACTATTAGAATGCTCTCATAAACACTATTAGAATGCTCTCATATACACTATTAGAACGCTCTCATATACACTATTAGAACGCTCTCAAACACTATTAGAACGCTCTCATATACACTATTAGAATGCTCTCATAAACACTATTAGAATGCTCTCATATACACTATTAGAACGCTCTCATATACACTATTAGAACACTCTCATATACACTATTAGAAAGCTCTCATATACACTATTAGAACACTCTCATATACACTATTAGAACGCTCTCATATACACTATTAGAACGCTCTCAAACACTATTAGAACGCTCTCATATACACTATTAGAATGCTCTCATAAACACTATTAGAAAGCTCTCATATACACTATTAGAAAGCTCTCATATACACTATTAGAACACTCTCATATACACTATTAGAAAGCTCTCATATACACTATTAGAACGCTCTCATATACACTATTAGAAAGCTCTCATATACACTACTAGAAAGCTCTCATATACACTATTAGAACACTCTCATACACACTATTAGAAAGCTAAAATATATGGTCCCCCTCCTTTAATTAATATTAAATAATTACACAGTTTAAGATTTGCAGCTAAATTAATTTGTTTCTATATTATGGAACTGCTATCAGGCACTTCCCATCATCTTATATCAGTAATAAAAAATTATAAATACCAATTTGGTATTTGGTGACTTGACTTTTATTTCTGTCAGGCTGAAGTGAAAAAACTTGGAAAGAGACTGATTCTCTTGGCGTTTAAAATAACAACACAAAACAGCATAAGAAAACCGCATTTATTTTTTTTATTTTACAATTTTGTAAACAACAGCGGCTGATTAAACTAAATGTCTCTACCTTGTATAATTTTACGACTTTTTATTTAACCAAGAAATGATCCGAAAGGCCTGGGAAATGATCAGATCCGCTTATGTGGCTGCAATGCGCGGCGCGCTCCCGACACAGGTGGAACAGATTTTCACATGGGAACAGAATTTCGCACAACACCGGAAAAGGATCTCTGTTGAAGCAAAAACATAAAAAATAAAGTCGAGTAATGCCCATGCTTCTGTGAGTTGTTTAGCGGATAGCTGAGCATGAATCAATAATTTTATTTGATACAATTTCGGCCGGAGATAGCACAAAATGTACGGAGCTAGCCAGAATGACCTCCGTTTAAAACAACTTCCGGTGTAATGACGGTCCTTCCTGTTTCACTGAAACGCCTTCCGTTTCAACTGAAACACCTTCCGTTTCAACTGAAATCCGCTAATAGCTTTTCAGTAGTGTGTATGAGAGCTTTCTAGTAGCGTGTATGAGAGCGTTCTAATAGTGTTTATGAGAGCGTTCTAGTAGTGTATATGAGAGCTTTCTAATAGTGTATATGAGAGCGTTCTAATAGTGTTTATGAGAGCTTTCTAATAGTGTATATGAGAGCATTCTAATAGTGTTTATGAGAGCTTTCTAATAGTGTATATGAGAGCGTTCTAATAGTGTTTATGAGAGCATTCTAATAGTGTATATGAGAGCGTTCTAATAGTGTTTATGAGAGCGTTCTAATAGTGTATATGAGAGCGTTCTAATAGTGTATATGAGAGCATTCTAAT